CTCAACAAACCGCTGAATCTACTCGCCTGGGGCGAATAGATTTCAGCCGGTTGCTCCGTGCACCCCATTCACTGGAGTTTCATACATGCGTAGTGCTGGTCTGGCGCAGGCGTGGTACGGGGCTGGTGAGTGGCTCTCATCACGGTTTGTCAAGCCCTGGCCATCAGAACTTTCTTGTGCAAGAGTGTGTCCACACTGCCATGGACGCTCTTGTGCAAAAGCACATCTCTTCCACAAAAGCACATAGCAGTGTGGACGCGCTCTTGTGCAAGAATTTTTGCACAAGAACTCTTGCACAAAACAGTTCTTGCGCAAGAAGCCTGCAGTGTAGACGTAGCCAAAGATTTGAAGTCACTGGTTTGGCCTGGAGCCAGACCCATTGCAGCCAGTAAAACTGCTGGCAAGAGCGACCGGCAGGCGGCCCGTAGGAACAGCAGCAGGTGGAGCAAGTGGACCCCAGGAGCAGCACAAAGGTGGCATCAGGTTGAGTGAGTGAAGTCATCAGGTGATGTGTCAGGGTCCGCACTGACTGGACAGGGCTGTAAATCGGGGGTTTGAAGTGGGGTACGGAGAAAGTTTGGGTAGGTGAATGGGGCCCTTATATTGTCGGACTGGTGAGCGTGAGAGGCAAAGGACATTGCTCAATCCTTTTGAGCTGGGATGATTACTCATGGGGGGGAGGCTATGAACGCTGTTGTGGTATTTTCCCAAGTTAATGCCGTGTGACTTCTCTCTTTCATTAACAGTTTCTTTTCTCCGCTCAGACTCTGTGCGTGGGAGCGGGGAAGCATTGCCTCTCGGAGGCGCCCGGGGTGTGTGAATTTCCCACGCGACTGGGTGGGGGCTTGAGCCGGTTCTGTGTGAGATGGATGGAAAGGGACCCCTAGATATTGAAGCCAGCCCTGGCTGCTGCTGGCACTACCCAGAAGAAGGGTTACACATTTTATGACAAACACCCTACGGCTGCACAGAGGGCAGGGGTAGCTTGGTGGTTTCTGCATTGGCCTGCTCAACCCAGGGCTGTGAGTTCAATTCTTGAGGGGGCCATGTGGGGCAAATCTGTCAGTGATGGCATTTGCTCCTGTTGTGGGGGTGGGAGGCAGAGCTTGATGTTTTCGAGGTCCCATCCTGCTCTATGAGATAGGTATGTTCCCCTCTCTCACTGATGATGACACCCCCAAGCTCCCCACATCCAGCTCTGGGATATCAGGTTTGCACTGAGTTGTGGTGGTAGAAGCAGTAAGAGCAACCTCTGGGTAAACGTCCCCTTTCTTGGATTTATTTGGCTCCTCCTTTAACACCGCATGGGCTAAATAAATCCCTGTTCCCACCCCGCTCACAGGGAATGGAAACCACAGTCCCTCTGACCTCCCCCAACCCACCTCCGGCAGCATCTGCAGCTACAGGTTGGTCAGGTCCTTCCACCCCCATGCTCCAGGGCCCAGCGGGGTCAGGAAAGAATCTCTTCCCTGCTCCATTCCAGAGGAGGCGGGGGAGGAGGGGACTGTGGGGGGTTTCCCGTCTCTGCTCTGTGTTGCGACTCCAGACAGACTGGACAGGCCCGCTGGGGACTTTTGCCCGAACGGAAGCAGCATAGTGTTTCCGCAAGAAGCCCTGATTTCTTACAGTAGGAAGTCAGTGCTTTTGCGGAAATTCGAGCGGCCAGTGTAGACAGCTGGCAAGTTTTTCCGGAAAAGCGGCTGATTTTCCGGAAAAAGTGGCCAGTTTAGACACAGCCTCTATGTTCCCTTCTGTCGCTGACAACACCCCCGGACTCCCGAGCCCGGCGCCCCCCAGCGCCCCACTTCCAGCCCTGGGATATCAGGCTTACGCTGAGTTGCGTTGGTAGACGCAGGAACAGCAAGTGAGCGTGTTTAGAAAACACCGGACATTTCTCTTTTCTCATTTCTATTGTCTTCATTTGTTTCCCGACCAGAGAGCTCAGACCAGAGACTGTCCGGTTCAAAAGTGGACACCTAGCAGCAGCAACCCTAAGCATGACCTCTAGGAAAACTTCCCCTTTCTTGGATGCTTTGGCTCCTCCTCTGGGTCTAAATAAATTCCCGGCTCACCCTGCTCACAGGGGCCAGAAACCACAGCCCCCCCCAACTCACCTCCACCCACACCACTGGGCTAAGAGCAGCATCTGCAGCAGGAGGGTGGTCAGGTCTTCCCACCCCCATGCTCCAGGGCAGGCGCTGGGCCCAGCTGGGTCAGGAAGGAATCTCTCGCCGGCACAGGGCTTCCTCCACTCTGAGCTGCTGCTCCAGAGAGGCCTGCGGAGAAAAGTCAGGGCAGCCTGGACCAGGTGTCGGGTTTTGAACCGGACAGTCCAGGATTTGAGCTTTGTGTTCGGCAACCAAATTGAGCCAATAGGAATGAGAGAACAGAACTGTCGGGTGTGTCCGAAATCCGATGGAATGTGGATTGTGATGTCATGTCTAGCGTGTCTGGCAGCCCTAGCCTGGGCACCTGTTGATGTCTCCGGAGATTCCCCCATTTCCAGCTGGTGCAGCTTCCCTGTGAGGCGGGGAGGGGCTGCGGGGGGGGGGGGCAG